GCTGGAGACTGTATTAGGCCCAAAGTGGCCATTTCAGAAACTGTGGCGACTTAAACCTAGTGAAGCTCTACAGCTATTCCATCATTTAGGAGGAGGATTTCTATGCACACCCTGCTCCACTGCCAGGAGCCTGAACTCAGTTACTTGAAGCAGACAGTGAACTAAGGTTTTGGCCCTCAGTTATACCTGTGTAATTTTAAAAGGACTAACTGCAATGGAGTCAGTATATTTACTGATTTACACTGGTGTAACAACATAATTTGCCCAGCACATGCAATTATATAGAATTTCTTTTTAAAGAAAAACATATCAAATGTCAAAATATTGTGAAGTTTCTCACTTAAATATATTTAATTTTAGATGCATTGTATAAGGATCAAGTTTTGGCAATGGATTTATATCTGTGTACTTCAGAGAAAGGCAGAAAGGTAAGACCCTTAAACTTCCTTTCACACAAAAGTTAGCTACACAGAATTACTGATGTGTTACAAATCAGCAAAATAAAATCAGAGTTAAATCTAACACTTCATTCTTTTCCAGTGTACGGGAGTCTTAAAATTCCACCTGTCCTGCATGGTAGAAATGATTTATTTCTTTTACTGCTGTTCTTTTTAATGAAAGAATTCATCCTGCAGAGCAATTGAAAGTTTTCTTATTCAGGACTGTAGGCCCAATAAAATAGAATTGTTACATTTAGCTGAGACCATGATATTTAGGAACAAAATGATAAATATTAAGGACTGAGCAACTGCCTGAACTTTGAATTTCCTCTGAATGGCTATCAGATATAATGTTTAAAAAATGTAACCAGTTATATTTTAAAATCAACATTTTAAACTAAATGTAAGAAAAATAACTGAAAAGTTATTTCGAAAGTGTCTTTACATCAATATGGCAAATGACGTGCCTAGATTGTACTTATTTAGACACAAGTTTGTGGAAGAGAGGTGATGCAAAGCGATACAACCCCAAAGGGAGCCCTAGGAGGAATTGCACTTGCCAAGGACAAAGTGTCATGTAAATAGTAAATGCAGACACTAACTTATTGACTGAAGTTTTAAAAACTTATATTAGATGTGCTGTGTTTGTCTACTACAGCTAAAATAATAGGAACTGAAATGTCCATTACCTAATAGCCCCACCAGAAGTGTCTGCCCCTCAGCATTCTTGCCAGAAAGATTTGTCCTGACTCTTTACAGGGACATGAGCTGGAGCTCCCATCTTTTTAAGTTTACCAACAATAAAAATAAATAGCAGAAATCTTAGTTGTGACTCCAATAGTTTTTCCACTTGCTAGTGGTCTTTGACAAACAAAATAGCTGGTTAAAACTGAACCCAAGCAAGACTGAAGTTATGCAATGAGCAGAGGAATGCACTTCGAAGAGTTTGCAGCCACAGTGAAGACTCCTTTGGTTGAAAGTACATTACTTCTGTATTAACCTACTCAGGGTATTCCTGAACTATGAACTGGATTCTTCATGGACACTAAGCTTTCACATAGTAGCATCAGAGAGGGACACTTTCCATTATTTCTGACTGGCTAGAAAACTCCATCCCATCCAGCGGGACCTCAGTTATACACATTTTCATCACCTCCCAGATGGACTATCGCAATGCAATGCAATATAGCTGGCCATGAAGCTAACAGCAACTAGTAAAGATCCTTGTAGCATACACCCTCAGCAACACAGGCTACCAGGAGCACCCCTCACCTCTCCTCAAATCTGTAGACCAGCTTCCAAAGGAATAGCAAGTCAAGCCTAGTGTCTCTATCTTTATCTTACAGAAGCTCAATGATTTCAGCCTACAATAACTGAAAGACTGCCTAAAGCTCTCAGATGAAAAATTCCACTCCTCAAGCACCATGGAACTTTCTACCATAAGGGTAAAGCTCAACTGGGCAGGCCATTGTTGGGTACCAGTTCAAGATTGTAGAATGAACTCTTACAGGGAGTAAGGATCATCACAAATCTCACTAACTTCTTTTCCAAGTGCAGGATGAGCTTCTTCAACCTTGCATTTGCTAATATAAGGCACATAGTCTGTGAATAAACAGAATTAAAATAAAAACAAATCCTACCAAACCAAAACCTTCCAAATCACGCACACGCACACTCCCCGCCCTCCCCAGGGAGAGGAGGAGAGAAAGAATCAACCACACGACATGTCAACCATGTCAACCACACGACATGTCACTTAACTCACAATTCATAGGTGCTCAGATAGTACAGTGATTAGGACAGGAAAACCTATAGAGAACAGAACAGAAAGTGTTTACAATGACAGTTTTAAATTTATTTACCTCAGCTTGTCGGAGAACAAGATGCTACACAAAATGTCTGCAAACATGCACTCAGGAAATTATTTGCTATGCCTAAAATCCAACAATTTTACTGACACTACAAATTTATGAACAATTCAATATATTCGGATATAGCCATAGATGAGATTCTATAGATAAACTATCTACCTTGAGACATACAAAAAACAAACAAAAAAACCCATTAAGTTATCTAGTTTGCAAAGTCAAGCACTCGAAACTTAGGAAATGGCAGTTTTACTGTTGCCTGGCCCACCTTAATTCTACCTCCTTGTGCATTTAACTTACGAATTGAAAGAATCAGAGGTCCTGTGGAACAAAAAAAAACAGCATATTATTGTGTAAATTAAAATTAATTCTGCCACCTTGTATGTATGCATTTTGATAAAGTGGGACAGACAACTGTCATTTTGGCATTTCCTAACTCTCATGTGCTTGACTTTGCAAACTAAATCATTTTTAATTTAGTTTCTTAGTATGTAATTTCCTTTTTTTTTTTTAATAAAAGGAAACAATGTAAAAACAAGTTATATTATTTAACACACACACTATGGTCTGAACACTCATTCTTCAGCACAAACTGCTACCACTTGAGCTACACAAGTAAGCACATTAGCTGCCAGCAGCAGAACGCTATTATCTGTGCTATTATCCTTGAGGGGGGGGGAGGGGGAGCAGAATGAGCTGCTTGTGCCACATGCTTGATTAAGAGGGTGGTCAAGGGGAACCCAACTTGGTGCTCATTATCTCTCTCCTTCTACCTCCATGAGATGCAAATGGGACACAGATCTCTCTTCCAGGTCTGGCGTGTGTGGGTGTGTGTCAGGGATGGGGGTGCTGAGGTCCAGCTCAGCTTGGCTCTCCACACCACACCTTTACAGCAGCTCAGCATTGCAGCATGTGCTCCTTCAGCTTCTGTTATGATGGTTATGGCATGGGCCAAAATCTTAATGTTTGTGTTCAATTATTATTTTGCATGCTGCCAAAAATAGGTGTACAGCATTTTTAACCATTTATAACATGACTAAATCTGAATGGAATTTCATAGGGCAAAGAAAAACATTTCTGTAGACTGAAGGTTTTCTCCTTGCTGAACTTCAAAAGGCTACTGAAAATAGTGCAGGTGTTTGTATGTCTCATAAAAAGGTCACAAGAAACTTAATAGAAAGCGTTAGGCAATCTATAGGGATCACAACCAGCTCCTTCTATATCATGTCTTCTATAGAAAACTCTTAACATTTCTTACAGTAATAAAAACTAAAATTCAATCAGCTTTATAGTCTTTGAAATTATGAGGCAATTTTACTAGTCTTCCACTTCATGAGATCCCTTCTTTTGTTCACATTTGTGCTCGGAGATAGAAGAGAAAGAGAGGCCATATTTAGACAAAATTTAGAATCATCTTCTGCATTTTATATATCAGTATCTGCAACAGTTTCTCCCAAGATATTTTGGGATTCACACAGAGTATTATTTATTATATTTTTTATTAATCTCATAGACAAATATATTCAGTAGCAAAGTACAGGAAAGGTAATAATTTAAAATACTCTGAGTTTTTGAAGGAATAAATTAATTTTTCTTGTCTAATACATAATTTCCACGTCCAGCCTTTGACTGATCTTCCATGACCTTTCTGCCACCTTCAGTGTAGGTCTAATTATCCTCAGGATCAGTCATGATTCTACGAAGTCCCCATATGTGACAGTATGGCACCAGTGTGAGCAAGGTAGAAGCAGCCTGGCCCAATAGATGGCATACTGAATTGGGAATCAAACCTAGGGAATTGAAATTTGGCTCTGCTACTAATTTACTGTGTCATCTTGGGCAAATTCATTCTCTCTATCTCCCCTATGTTTTGCCATTTATAAAATAGAGATAATAATGCTCACCTACTTTATGAAGAACTTTGAGGTATACAAAGGAAGTTATTATTATGGATTATTACTACTACTTCTATGTAGACAGCATCTGGCTTAGTTCATCAAGAATATCAGAAGGCCCTATTCTTTCCCATAGAATTTGTACCTATAGGTAGCACAAGAAGACATCTTCTTGGATGTGTTTATTCTGTAAATGGCTTAACCCTCAGATTATATGTAGGAGGATAAAAACTACAGAAAAAAAAATAGGAAGGACAGAAGGTAGCTATTATTTGGAACAATCTCAAATTTCACTCACTTCTTAAATAATTATCTCCAACTTAAAATGCCGAGCCAGTATTATCAGATGTACACTTGTAACTGTAGGTGGAGTCATGTCTTATTTTGATTTAAAAAAAACCCTAGATCTGCAATTAATGTGTGATAATTTACACTTGGAGTGTTTGCTTCACACCTTGTTTGCGAATATGCCACAAGTACATTTGCCATTTCATAACAATTTAATGAACTTTTAAGTTTTTCAAAACTCTGATCTTATAAAAGATTTTATAAAAAACAAAGCAATACTTTTAACCACTAGACATCCACTCATACCTCACAGTCGCTCCTAATGGCTTACCATTTTACATAATTATTCCATTTTGATAAATATAAATCACCACATTCATCCAAATTAATCTACTTCACATTGAAGATGTCACTTCTTCCCAAGTAAACCACTGGTTGCCTTGACAAAACATCAGTGCATTTTCACAGTGCTAATGACACTAGAATCAAAGGTGTGTTGATTAACTTACAAATCAAACCGCAGGTTCTCTCTTTCTTCAAAGAAGTAGTCCATGATGAATTTTCTTACAAAATCTGGATTTAAAGTATTGTCAATTACTTCTGTTCTTCCAAACTGTAAAAGAAAAGTAATAGCTTATGGCAAGCATAAGATCCTATTGTAAGAAGTTACATATCTATATCACAGCATATAGATCCAGGAACAGAAACGTGCAAGGGACATGAAGTAGGATGCACCAAAGGTCTCTCCTGGAACAGCGATTTTGCAAGGAGAGGATCATGTCCACATGAAAACACGAAAAGACTACCAGAAGTCCACCCTTTCCAGCATGAACAGCAGCATGTGCCCATCCCCATTTTATAGACTGAAATTTCAAAAGACAGCACTTCCTTCATAGAATCATAGAATATCAGGGTTGGAAGGGACCTCAGGAGGTCATCTAGTCCAACCCCCTGCTCAAAGCAGGACCTACCCCCAATTAAATCATCCCAGCCAGGGCTTTGTCAAGCCTGATCTTAAAAACTTCTAAGGAAGGAGATTCTACCACCTCCCTAGGTAACGCATTCCAGTGTTTCACTACCCTCCTAGTAAAAAAGTTTTTCCTAATATCCAACCTAAACCTCCCCCACTGCAACTTGAGACCATTACTCCTTGTCCTGTCCTCTTCTACCACTGAGAATAGTCTAGAACCATCCTCTCTGGAACCACCTCTCAGGTAGTTGAAAGCAGCTATCAAATCCCCCCTCATTCTTCTCTTCTGCAGGCTAAACAATCCCAGTTCCCTCAGCCTCTCCTCATAACTCATGTGTTCCAGACCCCTAATCATTTTTGTTGCCCTTCGCTGGACTCTCTCCAATTTATCCACATCCTTCTTGTAGTGTGGGGCCCAAAATAGGACACAGTACTCCAGATGAGGCCTCACCAATGTCGAATAGAGGGGGACAATCACGTCCCTCGATCTGCTCGCTATGCCCCTACTTATACATCCCAAAATGCCATTGGCCTTCTTGGCAACAAGGGCACACTGCTGACTCATATCCAGCTTCTCGTCCACTGTCACCCCTAGGTCCTTTTCCGCAGAACTGCTGCCTAGCCATTCAGTCCCTAGTCTGTAGCTGTGCATTGGGTTCTTCCGTCCTAAGTGCAGGACCCTGCACTTTTCCTTATTGAACCTCATCAGATTTCTTTTGGCCCAATCCTCCAATTTGTCTAGGTCCCTCTGTATCCTATCCCTCCCCTCCAGCGTATCTACCACTCCTCCCAGTTTAGTATCATCCGCAAATTTGCTGAGAGTGCAATCCACACCATCCTCCAGATCATTTATGAAGATATTGAACAAAACCGGCCCCATATCAGTCAAGACATTAAAGCTACAAACAAACAGTTTTCCCCTCAAACTTAGGAAAACTACTCCCCACCATAAACATTAGTTATATTTACTCTTCCCAATTTGAACGCTATAGTTCCTAGAAATCAAAGACTCATAGCAGGATAGGATTGGAAGGGACCTCAAGAGGTCATATAGTTCTCCGCTCCCCTCCCCTCCCCCGCCCCGCACTTCCCTCCACTCCACCCTCCTGGGGACTGACAGGTGTTTGTTTAACCTGTTCTTTAAAACGTCCAAGGACAGGGATTGCACAACCTCCCTAAGTAATCTCTTCCAGTGTTTTACTATCCTTATAGTAATAAAGTTTCTCCTGATATCAGACTTAAATCACCCTTGCTGCAACTAAACAGATGACTTCTTGTCCTACCCTCAATGGACATGAGAGAAAGTGTACACTCACCCTGTGCAGTAACTGAGTCTTTGAGATGTGTCACTATGGATGCTCCACTACAAATGCACTTAGGCACTCTGCACCTTTGATCATAGATTTCTCAATGCAGCACCTATTCTGCCCACACATGCATATTACTCAGTCTCGTGGTCCGTACTGTTATATAAGCACTGAGTGCGTGAACTGCTTTCAGTTCCTTCTCTACCAGGAAGCTCCATAGCAGAGAACTCCAAAGCAGAAGGGAATGAGGGCGCGTGGCGGAGCACCCCCAGGGGGACACATTTCAAAGAACGATAGTTACTGCTTGGTGTAAGTAACCATTTCTTCTTCTTTGAGTTGTGTCCCTATGGTGCTCCACTCCAGATGGCTATCAAGTAAAAGTAAGGAGGAGGGAGCTTCGAAATCAAGTCCAGTACTGAAGAAAGTACAGCCGAATCATGAGTTATTGCATAATGCTCACCAAAAGGTATGTATAGAGGCCCAAGGAGGATTTTTGAAGTATTCAGTTGTAGGCCCAATTTGAGAAAGAGATCTATGGCTTCACAAGTTGCCTGTGAAGTAAGGTCCAGGAAGCAACCTTTCAGAAGCCAATCATTTAGCGGAGGTGTGCTGCTACTACTGATGACCTTTGAAAAGGTCTTTGGGGCAGATCATAAGCCAAAAGGGAGCACCCTGAACTGAAAATGGGCCTGAACGACAGTAAAACATAGGAATCTTTTGTGGGATGTGTGGATTGCTATATGGAAATATGCATCAGAAATTCGACTGTACAGTCAGCAAACAATTTAGTGTCATCAAAAGGAAAGTCTTCAACTGTATCTGGATATCTTTTGGAAATCCTGAGATCTGAATCCAGGAGGCCCTCTTCATAACTACCACCATAGAAATCAAAGGAGTGGCAGCAGCGGCAGCAGCCAGGGAGGTCTGAAGAGATGTTCTGGCAAGCAGCTGGCCTTTGCAATAATTGCCTGGAATTGCTCTCTGTGTTCCAATGGTAGATGTTCAATAAGGGAGTTCAACTTGGTATAATCTGTACAGTTGTACTTGGCCATTAATGCCTGGTAGTTGGTGATTCTAAATTATAAAGTTGCTGACAAATATGATTTTATACCCAATAGGTCAAGGTGTTTATGATCTTTACCATAGGGAACAGCATTAGCGTGGTACTGCCTTCCATGTTCGTTAACCACCTTGACCACCAAGGACTAAGGATAGGGATGAGAAAATAAAAATTCTGAGTCCTTAGAGGGGACATAGTATTTTTTTTGTCTGTTCTCTCGAACATGGGTAAAATTGAGGCCAGGTGTGCCAGATAATGAGGCCCTGAAAAAGCCAACAAGAAAGGCAATGTGAGCAGATCAAGCTGTATGAAGAATGTCAAGCAGCTTCTGATGTGATTCTTTAACCTATTGAAGAAGAATTTGCAAAGAATCCGTGACCATCTTGATAAAGGTCCTGGAACTGTTTAAAATAGTCAGCCAGGGATCGTGGAGTGGCATGACCACTTCATCGGGGCATAGAGAAAAGATGCTGGCTAGTGGAGAGATCTCTTCATCAGCCCCTAGTTTCCTGTTCCTCAAAAGGTTTCTTCCTGAGGTTCTGGTCTATTGGAGAGAGGGCGATGAAAGTTGTCTACCTCTGACAGATGGCGTTCGAGGCCCTAAAGAATTGCCGATGACAGGCCACCTAGGTGTCCTGACTTCCAGTATAGCTGAGGGGCTGGTGAATATTACATGGGTGGAGGAATCCATGAGTGTTTGTACCAGCAAGATGGTGGTTGTGGACATCTCTCATGACTGAGATCAATTTCCTCAGAGACCTATGGAAAAGAGCCTCTATAGGAATGGAGTGGAGAGCCTCAGGACAGATATTTGAGAGATGAAGATAAGATCTTTATCAGAATCCTCCTTTTCCAAGTCACTGTGAAGCAGTGGAGCAGCAGAAGAAATTTGAGGTACAACCATCAGTACCAGCCAGGTGTATGGAAATCTGGAGATCCTAGGTACAGAGAACAGATCAGAACTGAGCAATGACTGAGTCAGGTGTCTCGGAAACAGCCAGGTCTAGCGGAAAATGAAACTCCTGCAGTACCAAGAGCAGTGTCGGTACCATATCCATGGCCTGCACCAAAGTGATAATGGCAGAGGGAGTTGACGGTACTATAAATCTCAACCACTCCGAGGGGAGACCTCCAGAAGAAGCCCGATTGAGCATCTTCGGTACTGGGTGAGAAGAGGCAGTGCTCTTTTTGCTGCCTTGATCCATTGACAGTACCAGCTGACCTCTCAGAACCTGGGTCTTTAGGCTTGATCATGCCCTCAGTACCTGAGGAACCAGCAGTCTCGCAAGTACCAGACTGGAGAGCAGTGGGTGCTGAAGGGGCTGGAGTCATCGAAGTCAGCGACTTCCTTTTGAGGTAGATTCCCTATCTGGATAACTTGAGGGACAGATTTTGGGAGTCTTATGAGAGGAATCTTGGGTATTCCTCTTAGATATCCTTGAGGAGTGCAGTTTGGAGACAGTGGAGGCAGCAGACTTATTCAAAGACCAGCCAACAGGGGTTGGTCCCCTGGCTAGGGTCAGAGGCCAGGCAGAGTGAGCTCTCCATCATGAGGAGTTGAAGTTTGAGCTTCCTGTTTTTTCTGGCTTTACATTTTAAATACCAGAGAGAAGTTGCATTTTTGGGAAATATGAGAGCCCTGAAGCAACAGATGTACCGGGATTGCCTTCTGGCATGACAGGCAAGGTCACCAGGATTGCCTTCTGGCATGACAGACAATGTTTGAAACCAGGAAAACCAGGCATGCCTTTCCAGTAAAGTAAAAACTCCCAGGGGGGAGTAAATGTCTAAAAAAAAATCCAATAACTTTTTAAACTACTACAGTTAAAACTACTACTAAGAACAACTATAATTAACTGCTTAAAGAGCTAAGGGGACACAGTTGAGGTAAAACTCAGTGCAGACAACTGCTAAGGTTCCATCTCGGGTGAGTGGTTGAGAAGGAACTGAGGATAGTTTGCTTGCACTGTGCGATATGTGGGCCAAATGGACACTGCTATGCAAAAATCAATGATCAAAGGAGCATGCGGTGCAAGTGCACCCAGAGTAGAGCACCTATAGGGACATTATTCAAAGAAGCAACTAATCACAGTCCTCTTTATACCAACCTTCTATATATTTGAAGATTTATCATGACCCCCCCAACCAGACATTCTCTTCTCTAGAATAAACACGCCCAGTTCTTTCAACTATTCCTCGAAGGCAGGGGTTCTCAAACTTCATTGCACCGCAACCCCCTTCTGACAACAAAAATTACCACATGACCCCAGAAGGGGGGACTGAAGCCTGAGCCCTACCGCTGCACCTCCCCACCCGGGGGCGGGGGTGTCAAAGCCAAAGCCCAAGGGGTTCAGCCCCAGGCAGGGGGCCTGTAACCGAGCCCTGCCGCCCAGGGCTGAAGCCTTTGGGCTATGGCCTGGGCGGTGGGGCTCGGGCTTCGTCTCCAGTCCCCAGCAACTCTAAGCCAGCCCTGGTGACCCCATTAAAATGGCGTCACAACTCACTTTGTGGTCCTGACCCACAGTTTGAGAACTGCTGCTCTAAGGTCATGTTTTCTAAGCCTCTTATTTTGTTGCTCCTCTCTGGACTCTCTCCAATTTGTCCACATCTTTTTTAAAGTGGTGCCGAAAACAGGACACAGTACTCCAGCTTAGGCCTCACCACTGCAGAGTAGAGCAAAACAACTACCTCCTTTGTCTTACGTACAACACTCCTGTAAGTACATCTCAGAATGACATATGGACTTTTTCGCAACAATATCATACTGTTGGTTTTACAACCCACTATAACCCTCAGATTATTTTTCTGCAGTACTACTGCCGAGCCAGTTATTCACCATTTTAATTTTTTCTTCCTTTGCTTCCTAAGTATAGTACTTTGCATTTATTTTTACTGAATTTCATCTTACTGATTTCAGACCAATTTTCTAAATTATCAAAGTAATTTTGAATTCTAATCCTGTCCTCTAAAGTGCTTTCAACCTCTCCCAGCTTGGAGCCATCCACAGATTTTATAAGCATACACTTATGGCATGATTTCTTCTTGACAAATCCACATTGGCTCTTACTTATCACCTTATCTTCTAGGTTGAATAAAATTATTCAATAGTTTATTCTAGTATCTTTCCAAGTATCGAAGTTAGACTGAACCGTCTGTAATTCCCTGGGTGCTCATTTTCCCCTATTTTGAACATAGGTAATATGTTTGCACTTCTCCAACTTTCTGGGACCTCATCGATCCTCCAAGAGTTCTCAAAAATAATAGCTAATGGTTCAGAGATCGGTTTGGCTAGTTCCTTAAGTATACTGCAGCAAAGTTCATCAGGTCCCACCGTCTTGAAGAGATCTGATTTATCCAAACATTCTTTAACCTATTATTTCACTATTCTGCCCAGAAATCCCCTCTCCCTTGTGGTTAATATTGTGTTAAACATCTGGTCACAATTAACCTTTTAAGTGAAGCCTGAAGCAAAAAAGGCATTAATGCACTTCAGCCTTTGCTGTGTCATTCATTATTTGCTTCCTTCCCTGATAAGTAATAGGCTTAACTTTACTTTGTCTTTCTTTTACTTCTATTGCTAAGAGTGCCAACAAGCGTACAGTACTACACGTAAGTGATGTTGACATCTGTCCCCTAGAAAATGAACTGAGACCACTAACTTATTTAGAGCAGGGCAATGAACAGTTGTAAGGTAGTAACGTATTTCAGTCATTACCACCTGAGATGATTCCAACTGCTGATACAACAATGAAATGTTCTTCTTCCCACTTAGAATCTGGAGGCACCATACTTAAGAACTCGAGTATATGACTACTGTAAAGTACCAGTAGGCCAAATCGGAGAAGTAAAACCATTAATAATTGAGACAAAAACTGTTAGTGATCTAGTCTCCTCCCCCCTTTCCCCTTCACAAATAGCCTTTGGAAACCTGGCTAGCCTGCTCCATATTTTTTAAAAATAAAGTTGGTTTTATTTACGGTGGAGGGAAGTATGGGACACTCATCTTTCTTCTTTAAATGGAATTAACCATTTTTAAATATAACACAGGATATATAAATACAAAGAGTTCAAAATAAAGTGACCCTGAGTCTTTCGGCTTTTTTTTCTGCACATTTCAGAGTTGGACTTCTTTTGCATAGCAATCAATCAACTAATCATAATTTTTCCCTTTTTTTTTTGCCATGACAAACAAACCACCACACTTAATTAAAAAATTAAAAACAAAAACATACATTAAAAAAAAAAAACCCACCACCTTACCTCTCTCCATTCTTTGCTTCCAATACCTTGTGTATACAAAACACATACTGTGGAAAGAAGAAATGCTCTGTCATTTTCATAATTTCTTTTAACATTCTTACATTAAATGAATCTGTTTTAGGAAGTCTTACATTGCTGTTGCAATTACTAGCTAGGACAATCAAATATCAAATCCTTGCACTCAGTTCCTAATAGTCCTATGCTTGGAGCCCTCCTATGGAGACAATATGGACAATGAGCCTGGAAATAGAATGGCTCTAAAGTGGGCTGTGATACTTACTGCTTGACTTTTAGCAAGTCACTTGACAATCCTTAGATGTAACACTGCGTAAAAGCAAGATTTCGCTAAAATCAGATTGAAATATTGGTCTAACTATAAGTACTCTAAAAAATACACTGTCTTCAGGAGATGAGAATTAAAAGAGAAACAAATAGGGACCCATATAGGAAAGAGAGAGAAAATAGGGTGGGAGAGATAAAACTTCCTGAGCCTTTTTTCCTTAGACCTGCTCCAAATATACAAAAGAAAGATATGTTGTATATCGATACAAAAATTTTGTTTAAAGCCAGTAATTGTTGCCAAAGTGACACATCCACCCAGTACAAGCCTTAAAAAAGGAAACGCCATAATAAAGTACATTTATGAGCTGTCACTAAATGCCCATACAGAATATTTTCACTTTTAGCAACAGACTTCATGCCACTGCCTCCTCCCCAAAAAAAGAACTCCCTTTGTTTCCAACAGATATAATTTTTTTATTAAATATTATTATCATCATCTGACTCTCCAGCTCCATCTCAGGAGCTGAGAGCAGGAAAACTCAATTCTGGAGGTACAAGAATCGGGAGTTCTCTGCACTTCTGTAATACAGTTAATAGCAGCAGTTATCCAATACATGTATAAAATTGATTAGGGCAATCAACTCATTCACATCCAACAGCCTTTACAGGTTAATGTTTGTTCACTACACATGAATCTTGAACCACGTGTAAGCCAGCAACCAAAAGGCAACCTAACACAGTACCACTCCGCCTTCTGAATAATGCTGATCTAGATCTGCCCTAAATGGTTTTCTGACAGATTATTCTCCTGCTTCAATACATTTTTAATCTCTAATTTAAAAAAAAAAAAAAAAACATGCTTTGGGTTGCAGTCTTTAGCAACAAAGGGTAAGGGCCCAATTCAATTCTGTAGCAGGGTGCTGGTGCAAAAGCGCCTAATTAGCCCCTGCCCAGTCAGCTCCAATCAGCGGAAACATATTGGGGCTCATGGAAAAGGCCTGATGGTGGCCTGAGGATTGGCAAGACCTGCTGGCCTGACAAGCCACGGGCTACAAAGGCTGGGAGGCAGCCAGTTAGGGAGGGGACTGGAGGCCTCCTAGCTGAAGGCTGGTTCTGCCTGTAAAGGAGGAGATTAATCCTGTAAAGTTGTATATAGACAGACACTGGTGGTGGGATAACCTTTAGTGAATAAAGACACGGTGTTGCACAACCCTGAAGCCTCTGAGTCTGAGTGGAGCAGCAAGCAGGCCCTAGGAAGAGGGGCGGATTGTGGACCCTGTTACATACTTCCATTGGAGTTAAAGAGAATCACCCTACTGACTTCAGTAGAAACAGGGTCAAGCCTGAAACTGGATTGTCTTTCTCCTCTAAAAGATACTTTGCTCCATACCTAATTTGCACTAGTCTGCAGTTAACAGAATGAAGGTAAGACACAGTCCCAGGAGCACAGAAGACAACCCACCCATATTGATCCTGCACTGGCAGGCTAAAATGGGAAGTTGGGACTAGTTTATACCAAATGGCAGAAAAACAATAAAACCAAAGCCAAATAATACCAAGCCAAGCTTATCATAGTCTATAGAGGATGAAGTCGATATTAAGGAAGTGGGGGGGGGCAATGATTTTTTTTTTAATTACATTGAAATCATCACATTGTGTACCATGATTTTTATTATACTAACCATCTTCCTCTATCCTCCTTCCATCTTATTCTTGTACTCAGACTGTAGGTCTTGTCTTAATTTAGACTGTAAAGTCTTCATGACAAGGAATGTGTCAATTTGTGTATGTTTATAATAGTGCCCAAAACAATGGTGCCCCTGAGCTAATAAATAAATAATAATAGATAATAAAGAGTTTACTTACCAATAACTATTGTTTATGTGTTGCCTCTGTGTATTCACAATTGCGAGATATGGCACCTTTAGAGTCAAGCAAAGGAAAGGCCTTGAAAAGCCACCTCCAGTACAGCTGCCTGAGAGATCTCATACAAAGGTGTCAACCCCTTACTCTATATCAGGAGAAGCGTGCATACACAGACAGCCCCAGTTCCTTCTCCCTAACTGCCAGTCTTAATGTTCTAAGAACTCGGAGGTAGAGAGTAAGGTTGGCAGGTACTGGGACTACACCCAAGCAACTTTTGAAGAACAGCAGCTATTGGTAAGTAACTTCTCTTTAAGGGCCTCTTTATATTTCCATTTATGGGAAATTAGCAAGCAGTGTTCTGCCAGGAGAACATGGGTGCGGAGTTCTTGGCTAAATATAGATATAGCAAAGTTGTGCTACATAATACACATACATTGGATATTAGGAAAAACTTTTTCACTAAGAGGGTGGTGAAACACTGGAATGCGTTACCTAGGGAGGTGGTAGAATCTCCTTCCTTAGAGGTTTTTAAGGTCAGGCTTGACAAAGCCCTGGCTGGGATGATTTAATTGGGAATTGGTCCTGCTTCGAGCAGGGGGTTGGACTAGATGACCTTCTGGGGTCCCTTCCAACCCTTATATTCTATGATTCTATGATAATATTGTTATACATCTAGCATAATGTTTGCTCTGACCAACCTGATCTTCCTAGAACTATGGGTATCAGAGAAATTTGAGGGAAGGCATATAGAAGAAGTTAGCTCTAGTCCAGCAGAAACACATCCAAGTGGGATCTTTGGTCTGTGTGTGCTCTTGTGCAGTATACATAGCACTTAGTGTTTTGCTCAGACACAAAGAGGTCTATTACTGGCCCCATCTATGAAATAATATGTTGGCCTCCACTGGTATCAAGGACCACTTGGCTTGATCCTGAGACCCCTTACTGAGAGACAATGTATAGACATAGTTCTCCCCAGCAAGGTGAAGAGCTCCTAGGGAGATTTGGTTTGGGATACAAATTTTTTCTTTTTTTAAATAAAAAAAACAATGCACCACTTTTCTTGCTTCTGCTGTTAAGGCCTGCGAATACACTCCTCCCTGCTTGTTGATTTAATAAATGGCCATGGTATTGTCTGAAAGCACCTATACTACATGAAGATACAGAGACAGGGCCCTTTGAGTATGGCCCTTTGGCCCACCATACTGCGCTGAGCTCCAGTGCATGGATATGGAGTCTGGATTGGTAGGTGTTCCACAGTCCATGTATTTGGAAATCATGATCATGTGCACCCCTGCATGGACTGCAAGCTTCAGTTGTGACCACGATAGTGGGGAAAGGTGAAGCAAAAGATATCCCACTGGAGAATGTTATCCCTGTTCTTCCACCAGCAAAGCTGTTCAAGGACTTGAGGAGGGATGGTCAGTCTTCTTTGAACGTGGTGTACATTTAGTATGTATTCGCCTACCACCCAGAGCTTCAAGGATCTCATGTTCACACAATCATATGGTGAGGTGCAGGTTGTTATGGCAATCAGGCTTAGTAGTTTCAAGAATAATTGTGTGGTCTGCATCAGTTGTTCCCTGAGAATTGCCAGGGAGTCTTGACTTTTGGGAAAACTCTTTTGCAGGAAAGGAACTGGCACAAATAGAGTCCAGGATTACTCTGACGAAGATGATCCTTTTTGTGGGATGAAGTGATTATTTCCGACCTGAGATTAAACAATCCCAAAGACTGCAAGAGATTACCCATATATTGGATTGCTTTGTGAAATCCTGTTGGGAGCTGAACCTTAGAATCCAATTGTAAAGGTATGGTTAGATAAAAATCCTTCGTGTCTGAGATGTGCAGTAACCATCACAAGGCACTAGGTTAAGACTTGTAGAGCCATGAATTAACTGAAAAAAAAGCCGCTGAACTGATAGTATTTTATTCCGCCACCCCTCAGATACTTGAAGCAAGTGTGTTTGACTGGCACAAGGGCAAAAACCATGTAAACTGAGAGCTGCAAACCAATATCCCTGGGATAGGTAAGACAATATCCTGCAGAATAAGCATCCTGAATTTAAATGTTCTCCTAAACCTGTTGAAGTTTAGGAAGTCAAGAATGGATCTAAAAACTTTGGAATCAGGAAAGAGTGGAAATACAATCCTTTCCCTCACTGTTCCTGTAGAAACACCTGTATGGCTTCCCTTATTGAGAAGGGAATCCACTTCTTCCAATAGGACTCTGAGACAGGTCTGTGAAGGAGGAGGAAGAAGAAGGGACAATGGTGAGGTGGCCAGGTGCAGAACTGGATAGAGTACCCAATGCAGATAACATTCAGTACTCAAAGTAATAATGCACTAGGCATTGGAGGAGGAGGAGAGTGAGTCCAAAGGAAGGACATAAAGAAGGAAGGATTGGAGAGGTAATGTAAATTGATACATGACTCTGAACTGCACCTTCAAAATTGTTTTTTAGAAGCTGATACTGAAGGCTATGGGGATATGTGGCAAGGAATACTTGCTCTTCTGTTGCTCAAATCATTTGCCAATAACAGGATTAGGAGGCAGCTGATACTGCCTCTGGGAAGGAATCCCTTGGTGTTGTCAGGAAGCCTGTCTTTAGAAGTAGAATGCTGGGTAGAAAGTAAGTTGAAAAAGGACTATTATTTCCAAGGATGGTGCAGTGGCTTTAGTAGCCTTGGTCTTCTCCACCGCCTCACCACTTTGGTCATGAGAGGCTAGTGCCCTCAAAAGCGAGGTCTTCGGTTTTCTCTTGGGATTCAGCTGTGAGAGCCACCTGTAAGGATCTCAAGCAAGAATACCTCACAAGAGCCACTCCTGGGGCCACTGTTCTTGTACTCATGACAGAGGCATCATACAGCAATCCTAGTGCCAATCTGACCCTTGGTGAAGA